ATGTTTTTGTTATTGACTTTTAATAAAGTTTTCAAAACGGTATCTCTCTTGTGGTTTTATTGCTAGCAATTATGAGTCGCGTGTTTTAATTGATCCTTGTTAATTTATTTTGTTTTATAATAATACGTCAAGGTTGCTCCCTTGAAGTTTTTCCTGTAAAGCTAATTTGTATTCAACTTTGGGCTTGTGAACTCGAATAATTAATAGACTAACCGTGCGTGAAACGTTGAGACTTCAATAGTTTTTCATGTCCTCGAGATAGATGGGAGAAAACTGTTCTGTAATAGTCAGACAAACTTGAAATAAAGCGTTTTCAGCTCTAATTTGTGTATGTTTTGTTTATATATATCGGAGTTTTAGCGCTAAATAAGAAGACGTAAACTAAATTGAAATAAAGACTTTTCAACTCCACTTTCTGTATGTGTTTTGTTTATGTATATCTGAGTTTTAGCGCGAAATAAGATATAGGAAGCCGTTTCTCGCGTTGCTAGGTGATCGCTTCTCTTATTCCTATTTTTCTTTTGAATAGACGGTCCGAAAACCGGGCTCAAGTTACTTACCGGGCAAGTCTAGGCAAGCGTATTGTTCCTATTGTAGTAGAGTGACGCTTATTAGTAAACCTATACCGAATTAGTATGCAGGAAGACACTTAATTAGTATGCAGGAAATCCAAATTAGTATGCGGGAAGGCAGTGAGCAGGCTTTTATGCCGTTCAAACAATAAAAATACGGCAACCAACCAGAATGCTTCGTCAAACGTGACAGCCAATGAGCGTCTTTCTAATTCCGGTCAACCAATCAAAACAACTATGACATCATAGTTCCCCGGAATACATATGACATCATCTTCCGAAAATAACTAAAACCTGTCAAACCGGTTATACCAAGCAGGACCGCCACAAAATAAAAATAGAACATGACATCATTGATAAACCCGTCAAACTGGATATACTTAGGACGACACTTAGTTAGTATGCAGGAAATCCAAATTAGCGTGCAGGAAGGCAGTGAGCAGTCTTTTATGCCGTTCAAACAATAAAAATACGGCAACCAACCAGAATGCTTCGTCAAACGAGACAGCCAATGAGCGTCTTTGTAATTCCGGTCAACCAATCAAAACAACTATGACATCATAGTACCCCGGAATACATATGACATCATCTTCCGAAAATAACTAAAACCTGTCAAACCGGTTATACCAACCATGACATCATCCATCTACAAATAGCACATGACCTTACCTTTATGAGATTCCTGCGCATTTTATTCATGAGATCAAGACAATAGCCTATGACGTCACCTAGTTAATGTATTCCTACGCACGCTAATGAGATTCCTGCGCAAAAAAAAGGAGTAAAACATACCTCCTATACTAGTAGCAAAGCCGGTAAATTCAAAATTTGCAACCACAACAGCGAAAAAAAGATGTGGTCATTGCTATTCTTCATCGCGAAACTACCAGAAAAAGCTAAAAGGATTGAAATTTTACTGAGATTTTAAAGATGGTTGAAAAAGACGAACATTCGCCAAGCGAGTTCAGTAGTATCGTGAACATCTGGACACTTTTGATTTAGAAACTGAAAAGGGCATTACCGAAAGCCAGGAGGCCATAGACGATTTTATCAAGCAACAGAAAAGTGCAAACACAAAGAAGAAAGAGACTACTGATGTGAACACTCTTCTCCGCTACATTGAAGCTAATGGTATGAAAAATGAGAAAATTGAAAGCTTACCTGCGTCCGAGCTTGACCACTTGTTGTCGAAATTTGTTTGAACGCACGGAGGAAAAACGGAGAAGAATATGAGCCAGCCACAGTTTCCAGTTTTCAGCCCAGCTTAAGCCTACAGCGATACTTAGAAGAAATATCCATTTAACATATCCAATTAGGACAATCAGTTCAAAAAATCCAGAAAAGTCTTTGCAGCGAAGCGAAAGTCACTTGTTCTGACACGAGCACGGCAAAGGAAACAAACCGCAAGCTGCTCAGGCCATTGACGAAGGCGAAGAGGATGTCCTTTTTTGTCAACTATGTCCAGTTTCGAATTAATTTTCATAGCTTCAAACTTAGACTTTCACTTGACACTGACTTGATCCATATATATTTTGTAATTAAGAAAGTAATGCTTGATCGACCAAAAAACCTTTCTAGAATTTTAGAGTCAATAATTGCTCTTGTCAGATTCCCTTAAAAAGCGTCTTTAAAGTTTTGTTTAAGCTAATTTAAGGCGATTTCACATCAATGAATTGTATGAACTCGTGGTAGCTTGCTTTTTTTGAGTTTCTCGCGTCATAAAGAATACGTCACGGCGTTAGCCCTTTAAGTGCAAGCCATTGGAGGTGCTTTTTACCATAAGAAGCCGAGTGCCATATAAACAACTTACTAGCCGAGCTTTCTCGAGCCATACTGGGGAATATTGGCCCTTGGTCGTGGCAGTGTGCGCTCGCTGCGCTCGGTCCGTACTGCCACGACCTCGGGCCAATATTTCCGAGTACGGCCCT